TTTTCCTTGATCTTGGGAGGGGTCCTCTCTGCCTCTAGGACGCGAATGTTTGTTTCATTCCCCAGATTAGGGAAGTTCTCAGCTATGATTTGCTCAAATACATCTTCTAGTCCTCTCTCTCTCTCTCTACTTCCTCCGGGATTCCAATTATTCTGACATTGGAATGCTTCATGGTGTCACTTATTTCTCTGATTCTATTTTCATGGATTATGAGTTGTTTTTCCCTGGCCTCCTCTTTTCCCTTTTTATCTATTATATTGTCTTCCAGGTCGCTTATTCGTTCTTCTGCCTCAGTTACCCTAGCTGTTAGATTATCTAGATTGGATTGGATCTCGCTGATAGCATTTTTAAGTTCTGCCCATTCAGCTTTCATTTATGCCCTTAGAGACTCTATGTTGCCATTAATTGATTTCTCCATTCTAGCCATTGTCTTCACAATTGCTAGCCTGAATTCCATCTCCGACATCTTGGTTATATCTGCATCCATTTGTAAATCTGCAGCATAAGTCATAATCTCTGAGTCTTTTCTATTTTGGGGGCGCCTCCTCCTAGTCATTCTGTTGATGGGTGTTTGAGGGAATGTATAGAGTCCAAATTATTGACCAGAACCCAAGCAAGATGCACCTGTTTTCTAGGGACCATAGGGTTGCTGGCCTCTCGTTCTCCCAGCCTGTGTTCTGGGGGGAGGGGCCTGCCATGCTGTTACTCAGGCAACCCTGTTTGGGCGGAGTTGCCCTGCCCCCCTGTGGCGGGGGATGGGCTCAGCGGGAATCAGTTTTGGGGGCTTTTGTTCTCTGGCAGCTTTCCCTGTTGGCTTTCTGCATCTCTTCTGCGAGTCAGAGCAGAAGAGACCGATTCCAACCCTCTGCCTCAGAGCAGAGAGACCGCAGTCTGTTCTTCATTGAGCTCTCCAGGCCACACTGTCTCCGTTTCTCTCCGTGCTGCTATAAACTGCAGTGGCCTGGGTTGTGCGCCCCTCCGCAGAGCTCCCAGTCCTGCCTGCAGGTCGGAGCACGCCTCTGCCCTTTGTGCTTCTAAAACTGCCAGCCGCCCGCAGATCGCACGCGCAACCCCGCGGCTCCGGGTTTCCGCCCTGGGGGCTGCTCCTTTTCCTGCCGCTACCGGTCTGTGAGTCTGTGCCCCGTCCCCAGCGCGAGGCTGTCGCTCACCAGCGGTGTAAGAGCCCCACGGCCAGGCTCCCTCCCGCTGCCGTTTATCCTCTGAATTAGGGCTGCCTGAATGCAGCCTGCAAGAATGACGGCTCCCCGCTTCGTACCTCGAAACCAACCGCCTGCGATATTCTGTTTGTAGAGATCCAGATCTTCTTACATCTCAGGCTGGTTTCGTGGGTGCTCAGAGTGGTCTGGTAGATATCCAGCTCAGTTCCGGGGACCAGTTGAAATAGGGTCCCCTACTCCTCCGCCGTCTTTCCTAGTCCCGGATTTTTTTATGTTAAAGTCTTTTTTTATTTTTATTTTTATTTTTTTAAAAGATTTTATTTATTTATTTGACAGAGAGATAGAGAGCACAAGTAGGCAGAGTGGCAGGCAGAGGGAGAGGAAGAAGTAGGCTCTCCGCTGAGCAGGGAGCCCCCTGTGGGGCTCGATCCCAGGACCCTGTGATCATGACCTGAGCTGAAGGCAGATGCTTAATCGACTGAGCCACCCAAGCGCCCCTGAAGTCTTTTTTTTTTTTTTTAAGATTTTATTTATTTTGTGGGGGAGGGGCAGAGGCAGAGGGAGAGAGAGAATCCCGGACTCCCCACTGAGCACGGAGCCCCACATGGGGCTAGATCCCAGCTGAGATCATGACCTAAGCTGAAATCAAGAGTCAGACACCTAACCGACTGAGCCACCCAGGTGCCCCCATGTTGAAGTCTTTAATACATCTGGAATTTACTTGTGAATCATAAGGGGGAAGAGCCCAGTATAATTTTTTTTAAACAAATGGATAGCCATCATCATTTATTACATAGACTGTCCTTTTGCCTATGATTTAAAGGCCACCTTTTTGATGTAATAAATCATCACATGTGCATAGGTTATTTCTGAACTTTGTTCTTTATATTGCTTTGTCTTTTATTTTCCAGCCTCACACTTTAAAGTGTGTTGACTTTCCAAAATCTTTGATTACATAGCTTACTCCCTTACTTCCTTCAGGTTCTTTCCTGACCACCTTGTATAAAACAGCCCCCATCTTCCTTTCTGTCCCTCTTCCCTTAGGGAATGAAGTGAGTGTTGTTAGCAGTAGGGATTTTTTTTTTTTTTAAAGATTTTATTTATTTATTTGACAGAGACACAGCGAGAGAGGGAACACAAGCAGGGGGAGTGGGAGAGGGAGAAGCAGGCTTCCCGCGGAGCAGGGAGCCCGATGCGGGGCCCGATCCCAGGACCCTGGGATCATGACCTGAGCCGAAGGCAGACGCCTAACGACTGAGCCACCCAGGCGCCCCAGCAGTAGGGATGTTTGAACCAGGCAGACCTGTGTGCATACTTCCTTGCTGACACTGCTAACTCCCTGCAAGTTAGTCACCTCTTTGAGCTTCTGTTTCCTTATCTGTAAAATGGGGATAACTTCTGTAAGGTTGTTTTAGGGTTAAATGTTTTTATTCTTTCATTCGATACATGTCTATTAAGCACCTTGTATGTATACTTTACTAGGTGCTAGGGATGCAGCAGTGAACAAGACACACAAGGTTCCTGCTCTCCTAGAGTCTATATTCTTCTAGGACACAGGGTGGCAAAGTCTTTATATTAGGCTTTGTGAGCCATCTGGTCTGTGCAACTTTGCTCAACTCTGCTTGTGTCACAAGAAAGCAACTACAGACAGTGGATAAATGAATGTGTGTGGCTGTGATTCCAATAACATTTTATTTGTAAAAATAGGTGGCTGGCCTGTGGGCCATAGATGGCTGCCTCCTGTTCTAAGACAGTAAAAAAACACATCAGTCAATCAAATTGTGAAGAAAAACATGGGACAATGAGATAAAGTAGCTCCCCTGTCTGGTTTCTCTAGGTGGAGAGACCAGGGGAAGGGCTCTTGAAGTTGGTGCTCTTTGAGCTGAGATGTGCCTGGTGGGAGGAGTACTGAGCAGAGGACGCTGCCGGTGACCGGCCTGGTGTGAGGAGCAGCCTGGGGGGCGCTGCCAGCAGGCGGGCGTGGGGAGGGGATGAAGTGCAGGTAGGCTGTGTGACTGAGTATTGGCTCAGTGTTAATAGTCCCTATTGGCCACTTTGAGGGCTGCAGAGAACTGCGCACATATATGGCAGTGGGAACGTGAGTTCCCTGAACGTGGAGTTGGACAGCTAAGATTCAGGTTCTAGCTCTGCTGGTGAATCTCTGATTTTGACTTTTATTCTCACATCTCCGTATCTCCCTCCATAAGATGAAAGAACGAAATTAAGGCCCGTTGCATTGTAATTCTGTGACTTAAAAACAGATTTTATTTTGGTCCTTAGCCTAGTGCTTTGGATCTTTAGCTCTTTACCCTTTGAAATTAGCTACTTTTAAATGTTTAGCTGCAACTGATACGCTGTGAATATATGCTCATACACGTGCTATAATAATGATAATCAGAGCTAGTGTTTATTATCCGCTGTATGCTGGGCACTTGGCTCTGCAGGAATGGCAGCTGTCTGAGGAAATTATTTTTATCTTTCTCTGTCAGTGACCAGTAAGTCATTTCTATAGATATTTTCCCTTCTTACCTCCTGATCTCCCCCCACCCCAATCATCGGTTTAACTGATGGTTACTATTTTTCTAACCTAAGGGTGGGCTCTTTCATGTGACTTTGAAGTGATATTCTGTACATGGGGACAAAAAGGATTTCAATAAATGGATGCTCTGGCTCCAGGAGCCACGTCCAAAGAGCTGGTGGCTGTTAGACAACGTGTGTGCATGCAAGTACTTGTAAATTACAAATGTTTGTTTATTTTAGTGGGCTTTTGTCTAAAACTTTATGATGCTATGGAAAGTTTTACATTTCTGTTGGTTTTATAGCATCTTGGTGGGGTACAAGGAAATCCTGAGGTCTTCCTTGTGCCTTGAAAACTTTTACATACGTAGATAAGAATTTCCTCTGAGAGAATTTTTCCTGTGTTTCCAACTTTTGCTCAGACTGTGGAATTGTGTTTTGCCATGGTCTGAAGCGAGAAGGATGTTTGCTCCACTGACTAGATTGGCCGTACGTATTCAGAAACAGACCTCAGAGAATCATTTTTATACGTCTTCAAGGGGTGCGTTTATGTTTCCTCCAGGGCCGGTTCTCCTCTGGCATGCTGAATGGCAGGGCTGTCTGGACGAACATCCCTGTGAGTTTCCCGAAGAATGGCTGGGCCGCCATTGGAACTTACTCCTTTGAATTTGCACAGTTTGACAACTTTCATGTGGAAGCCACAAGCTAATATTCACGGAGCACCATAGAACCACTCTGGATTTTCTTTCTTTCTGGTTTTGGTTGAGAGCCAGTTCATTTGATGGATCAATATATGAGTCTCTTGGAGGCTAACAATAGTGAAGAATAAATGGGGAGAGAAATACATGTTTGCTTGATCTTTTGGAAGATATTTTTAGAATTAATGCCCAGGGAAACCGATGAATCTTGAACATGACCTGATATGTCCCCTAAAATTCAAGCTGTGCAGCGGTCCTCTTGTGAGGCATGGTTTGGGTGGTTCACACCTCGAAGCCTTGGCATTGATGCTGAGGTGGCTTTCTCCATCGCACGCCAAGGGATCGTGTGGACGGCAGTAACCCAATCATCACAGAGACCGACTGTGTGTCTGAGTGAGCAGATGGCCTGGTCCTGAGGTCACACCACACCATAGGGAGCTGAAGAACACTGGAAGTGCTGCTTTTTGAAAACCACTTCAACACATTAATCTTAACACTCTAAAGAGTATTTTTTCTTTTCCTTTTTACGATGATGCTTTTGAATTACAGATATGATGAGTGGATGATTGCAAAAATGCCTCACTAATAAACTACCTCTAAAGCTAGTCCTGCAGTAATCAATATGAGCAGATTAATTGGGTTATCTGCAGTTATTAATTCTTGTAAATCCGACCTTTAGTCTTGTAACCCTTAAGACTCTCTCTGAACATTTCCCCAGGTGGCTGGAAGGAGGAAGAAAATCCCACATAGCCAGTGCTTTCCGTGGGTCTACAGATGAAGCTGGAGCAATTTTCTTGTGTGTCATGTCATGGTGCCTCTTGTGGCCTTCTTGTGTGCTGCTGGTCATGGACTAACACAGCTAATGCGTTCTCTTACCTTTGTGCATGGAAGAAGGGGCACGCTAAGCTTCTGCTAGTTCATAGAATTGGATCATCCTTTAATATTCGGTATGATTAGATGCATTTATTTCATGAAAGTACAAATGTGTTTATATTTGAGTGTGGGGAGCATATTTCTCATGCAGTATAATTTATATCTAAGCATTAGTGGACCTCCTAGAAACAACTCCATTGTTTATGTCGATAAAGTAAATTCTGGAATTCTCTAAAATGAAAGTTCAAAACTTCACTGGAGTAATACTAGAATTTTGTATTTGTAATGGTTTAACATAGGCTAAACTGAATGAAGTTTTGTATTTCTATTAAAGACAAAAAGCTCAATATTAGAATACATCAGATTATGGAGAAAAATTTTTAATTAAAACCAAGTCTAAGTGATTTCCACTTCAGGTCTCTATAGATTTTTTAAGTTAGCTTTATTGTGGTATAATTTACATACAATAAAATGTTCCCATTTTAAGTATACAGTTAAATGAGTCTTGATAAGTGGATACACCCACAAAACCAACACCCCAACCCAGCTATGGAACATTTCCATCACCCCAGAAAGTTCTTGTGTTGTACCTGTGCAATAATATCTTCTCACCTGCCCCCATCTCAGATTTCTGTTGCTACTGATAAGTTTTCATTGTTCTAAAACATTATAGAAGTGGCATCATACACTATGTACTCTTTTGTGAATGGTTTCTTTCATTCAGCATAATGCTTTTGAGATTTGTCTGTGTTGCTATGCATATCAATGGTTTGCTCCTTATTTCAAAGAATATTCCGATTAAACCACAATTTGTCATCCTCTTCCCTCACTTTTTGGAATTACAAATAAATCTGTTATGAACATTTGTGTACAAGTCTTTGTGTGGACATATGTTATTTCTTTTTTTAAAAGATTTATTTATTTTAGAGCAGGGGAAGGAGCAGAGGGAGAGCGAAAGAGAGAATTTCAAGCAGACTCCCCGCTGAGTCTGGAGCCTGACTCAGGGCTCGATCTCACGACCCCAATATCATGACCTGAACTGAAATCAGGAGTCGGACACTTAACCAACTGCACCACCCAGGTGTCCCTGTTTTCATTTAATACCAAAGAGTGAAACTGCTGGGTCTTTTGGGAAGTGTATGTATAAAGTGTATAACTTCATAAGAAACTGCCAAACTGTTTTCCAAAATGATTGTATGATTTTACACTCCGATCAGAAGTGTTTGAGAGTTCCAGTTGCTCCACATTCTTTTCAATGCTTCATATCATTCTTTGTAATTTTAGGTGTGTGGGTGTGTAGTAGGCACATGAGATGTTGAGCATCTTTTCATGGGCTTAGTCATTACTCATGTATTTTGTGAAATGTCTATTCAGATCTTTTGCTCATTTAAAAAATTGGCTTTTCTGTCTTATTGAGTTGTAAGAGCTTTTTATATATTTCAGATTCATTTTTTAAAGAGATTTTGTTTATTTATTTGAAAGAGAACACATGAGTAAGGGGGAGGGGAGAAGAAGAGGTAAAGAATCCCAAGCATACTCTGTGCTGAGTATGGAGTCCAATGCGGGACTCGATGTCATGACCCTGAAATCATGACCTGAGCCGATACCAAGAGTCAGAGGCTTAACTGACTGAGCCACCTGGGCACCCCCAGATGAAATTTTTTAAATCAGATAGATGTTTTATAAATAGTTTTCTCCAAGTCTGTATCTTTTCAAGAATACAAAATTTTAATTTGGAAGCGCATTTTATATTTTTTTCCTTTTATAAAAGTAAGTTTTTTTTTGGTGTCCTAAGAAATCTTTGTCTATCCCAAATTCACAAGGATCTTATTCTTTGTTTTCTTCTAGAAGTGTTATATTTTAGCTTTTATATTCAGGTCTGTGAACCATTTTGCATTACTTTTTGTATATGCTGAGAGGTGAGGTTTGAGGTTCATTTTTTTTCCTATATGGATATTCAGGGTTTTTTTGAGTGTCATTTGTTGAAAACACCATCCTTTGTCAAAAATCAATTAGACTATGTGTACATCCAGAAGTAAACACTGTATTCTATTCTATTGACTTAATGTTTATCCTTAGCCAAATACCACACTGTCTTTATTTCTGTAGCTTTATAGTCAATGTTGAACTCAGTTTAAATCCTCTAAACTTGTTCTTCAAAATTGTTTTGGCTAATATAGGTAAACATAAGGTTTCTGTATAAATTTTAGACTCACCTTACATATTTCTGCAAAGAGCTTCTAGAATTTTTATTTGGGATTACATTAAAATTACAGTTCAATTTGGAGAGAAGGGATTTCTTACTTGTATGGACCCTTCAATCCATGAACATGCTCCACCTCCACATTTTTAGGCTTTCCATACTTTTAGCCATTTCTGTAGTTTTCTGTAGAGACCAGGTTTTGCATGTATTTTAAATTTATCATTAAATATTTTACGGTTTTTTTCATGCTGTTGTACATGATATTTTTTTAAATTTCCTTTTTCAATTATTTGTTGCACATACATTGAAATATAGTTGCTTTTCTTCTGTTGACCTGTAAATACCACTGCTTCTCCCAGCCTTCCTGGGACAGGTGCATCACTGAGTGTACCAAATACTTCTAGCGGCCACACAGCACTGGAGCAAGGAGGAGGAGCACCCTGGGACAAGGATGGCAAGTTCCTCTCTCCTGCAAGGCCCCTGCAGTACCTCTATGCTACCTGGCAAAAGAGAAGTTATCACAGTATCACAGAGCAGGTCAAAACAGGGATTGGGGCTGGGAAACCGTAACAGAAGCAGCGCGGTTCCAATTTCTACATTTCTTTTTCTTTTTTTTAAAATTTTATTATGTTAATCACCATATATTACATCACTAGTTTTTGATGTAGTGTCCAATTTCTACATTTCTTGTGTTAGTTTTGGCCATTTGTGTCTTTCAAGGAATTTGTCCATTTCACATAAATTGCCTAATTTATTGGCATAAACTTTTTTGTAATATTTCCTTATTTTATTGTCTATGTTTCTAATATGGCCAATTTGTGCTTTCTCTCTTTTCATCTTTATTAGTAAGAGTTTTGTCAATTTCATCTTTCAAAGAACCAGCTTTCGGTTTCTTAAATATTTTTTTTCCTATTTCTTTGTTTTTTGTTTCACTGATTGCTGCTTGTACAGCCATTTACTTTGGGTTTCATTTGCTCATTTTCTAGCTTCTTAAGATGTAAGCTTAGATGTTTGGGTTGTGATTTTTTTTTTAAATATAGACAAACAACACTGCAAAGTTTTGTGTAAAATACCGAGCAGCATCTCACGTATTTTGATATGTCATGATGTCTCTTTTTTATTCAGTTGAAAATGTTTCCTAATATCCTTTTTATTTTTGACATTTATGCTAATTAGAAGTGTTCCATTTACAAATACTTGAGGATTTTCCAGATTTTATTTTGTTGTTGTTATTGATACTTAATTCTGTTGTGATCAAAGGATATACTCTGCTGGATTTCAATGATTTTAAATGTATCTAAGCTTGTTTAGATGGGTTTAGATGACCCAATTTATCTTAGTCAATGTACCCTTCAAAAGAGTACACATTCTGCAGTGATTGGCTGTAATGCAAATATTAATTAAGTCATGTTGGCTGATTGTGTTGTTTAAGCATTCTACGTGTTTACTGATTTTCTGTCTACTGGTTCTATCAATTACTGAGAGAGGAGCATTGAAGTCTCCAGATACAATTGCGTGTTTTCTCTTTCTCCTTCAGCTTTGACAGCTGGACTCTCCTGGGGCTTTTAGAGCTTTGCTAGGGGCCGTCTGGGTGGCTCAGTTGGTTGGGCGTCTGCCTTCGGCTCAGGTCATGATCCCGGCGTCCTGGGATCGAGTTCTGCATCGGGCTCCCTGCTCATCGGGGAGTCGGCTTCTTCCTCTGCTCCTCCTTCCCCTCCCCCCCCACTTGTTCTTTCTCTCTCTCTCACAAAAATAAACAAATAAAAATGCTTTAGAGCTTTGCTAGGGCACGAGGGTGCTAGGGCACTCCTCCAGGTGTAGTATGGCCCTATTCCCAAGGCAGGGAATTCTCTTGGGGTGAAATGAACACTCTCCACTAGAGTTGTTCCGATCTTGACCATGCCCCAGCCCTGTGAGAATCCTGATACTTGTACAGCTAACGGGACCCTGGTAACTGTTCTTTCCTCATGTATCCTTTGCCTAGCTCACGTGGTTTCACACTATGAATACACCAAGGGAGCCCTCTGCCAACGTCTGGACCTCTTTTTCTGCAGAGCTTCCTTCTCTGGTGCTCTGCATTGTGTGTCTCAGCCTCCTCGAACTCGGATTTTATCTTCATAGCTCCACAAGCCCACGTTCTGTATTTACCCCTGTGTACTGGAATCTAGTAGATGCCTCCAGACAGAAATTGGGGGTCACGGGGTTCATCTCTTTTGTTTCCCTTCTTGCAAGGCTCACAGCCCTGGGCTGCCTGTTGTCTAACTCCCTGAAACAGTTTCTTAGAGAGGAAGGGCCGATCCAGTTCCAGTTGTTATTCTCTCGGGGCTGGAGATGGAGCTCTCAACCCATTCAATTTAATATTTAGTCTTCATGGACCTTTTCCAAAATCCTTTAACGTGAATACTTTGAGCCCTATCCCGTTATGACTTTGATGCTGTTTCATGTGGAATCTTGCTCTTCTCAAGTAGCTTGTAGCTCTTGGGGTATGAAGAATGTATCTCATGCTTCTACATTCCCTCTTTCGGGGCTTAGTGAGAACCTGACTTCTGATCAGGTTGATTTGAAACACTGGATTTATATGTGGTGACAGGTAACCATGAATTGTATTTATTGAAGCAGATCCAGCAGAGCCTTTAGATGAATCGCTTTGTAAACTGCCAGACTGACCTC